AATGGAGGGGGGGGGGGGGGGCAAATGTGTCCCTGAAAGCACATTTGAAACTTTGAAACATTGCTTTTATCATCATTTTTGAGTTTGGCAGAACGCTACAACCCTAACATCCTCATAATCTTGAGCTTTTCCATAAACAACCATCCAAAAGCGTTGTAGAAGTGCTGACTGTGCAAACTCTCAGCCAGTACGAAACCCCTTGGGTCTCATTTTCTCCCATCAGGCAGATTTACCTGAACACCAACCATGTCCAGAATTGTCTCAACCAATCAAAGTTAGAAGCTCAACGTAGCTTCCAAAACCTCAGAGGTGAGGGTAACTGTCCAACTAGTGAATCTGGACACATTTCTACCAGCTGTGTTGCCTGTAAAACTGCTCAGGAGGGTTGCATGGTAAAAGCATTCGCTATGTGAATTAGCTTGAGCTCCTTTACAGGCCTGGCCCTCACCATGACATTTCCAAAACAGTGTGGAGTGTCTCTCTTTCTTGTTTCTCTTGACAGAGATTCTAGCAGATTAGGCCGTGTAACTCATTTGGACTGTGTTTCCTGCCAGTAGCTCTTACTGAGGGGGATATTTAATTTGGAGCCAAGTCAGACATGTGGTTGCCATCAGATTCTTGACCCCTGCACCAAACGTGGAGTTGACCCTAAAGACACATGCCAGCCGAGAAAGGCGATACTAAACGAGCACCACACAAGCTCCTTTTCTTCAGTTTCCTCAAATGCACAAATCTCTGCACAAAACTTAATCTTTAAAGGTATTTTATCCCCCAATGAAGGAATTTTATTTTTCTGATAAACATGCTAAATATTCTCTTTTCAGCTGAAAAATAAAAAAGTATTTTAAATATATGATGGTTTTTAAACATATGGACTGACATTATTACTGAAGTAATAAGGAAGGTTAAGTAAGCTAACGAAGTCAGCTTAATGCTAATATTTACACAAGATGCAATTTTATGTCATGGCAGTGGCATTACAACACTGACAAACTGTATACATACTCCAAAGTACTTCCCCATCATCAACAAAATCCTGTAAATACATTCAGTGCATAGTGTCAGTATATGAATTGGGATGCAGTTCAAAACTTCAATAATGCTGCAAGAAGTTAGAAGCCTTTATCAGATTATTCTCATGTTGGGTGTACCATTCAATTATCCTAATATAACAGAGGGTGTATTTGCAGCCTGGGTTGTCAGTGGGGGTTTTGTGGCTGAAGGCTGTGCTCTTGGGTGTTAATGTGGACCAGATGTGTGTCTCAATGGACCCAAAGAGCCTCAATAGTTTTCTATGCAAATGCAGAGTAGAAAAACATTTATTTTAATAATGCGTGTTTCATGTACCTTGATCATTGGCTCCAGTCCACCTCTAGGGTCAATAGGGCCAAAACACTCTATATGGGAATGGATGAGAATGCAACAGTCTCTACCCATTGCTAAAACCCTAAAATAAAAGCAATTAAGACTTGTTTTAGTTTTAAAACCCCAAGGAGTCCTATTATGAAAATGAGAGCGCAAGTTATTTGGATTTAATTAATCACGTGCATCTGCAGTCTCGTTCCTGCTTGTTTGGGTTCAGTGTGAAAAGCACAGAGAGTATGTGGATGATGGGACAACTAACTATCCCAGCTCTAAAGCTCCACAAATAGCACAATGATCTCATCTGCAGATCGATCTGAGCCTGGAGGCCTTTGCAGATCCCAAGAAACATGCTGGATCCATTACGCAGACCCTCTGATTACTGTGCGACACAAAACATGCGGTCCGTCTTTCCCTTGGGTGGGTGGGCATTGTTAACCCCATACCATAGAAAATCGCAACTTTTCATTTTCTGTTGGTCTTAGTACATGATGTAACTACAGAAGAGTCAAGTTTTAAATAGGAAAAATAAAGAAACTCTTTGGTCATTTTTGAGCGAGATGCTAACGGTCTAACCAGATTCAATGATCTATGCTAAGCTAGAGCTAAAAGTGCTACCGCCAGACCCGGAGATCGGTTGAATGGATTCGAAAACGGTAAAACTCAACTGTTTAACTCTAGGGGAGTTGGAAAATGAGCCTATTTTCAAAAATAGTGGAGTGTTCCTTTAAAGCATTAACATAGCACAAGTACTCAGGTTTGTGAGAGCAAACAGATCAAAGAAAGCTGTGATTGGATAAGGAATTTAGGAGTAACCAATCACTGATCAGGATTACGATTCTTTTCTTATTTGTTCTATTACATACTTTTCTCTTTTTTGCAGAAATTAATGATTTTTATGTTTTCTGTAAAGCACATTGTAAACTTTTATAAACTTTGTAATTTATTGAAAATAAATATAATTGTAATTTATTGAAAAGCTGAATTTTCAGCAGCCATTACTTTATTTCTGCTGAAAACCATTTATTATTATTATTATCAATGTTGAAAACAATTGTTCTGCTTAATATTTTTGTGTAAACCGTGCTATATTTTTGACAGTTTTAATAAACTCAATGCATCTTATATATATATATATATATATATATACACACACACACAGCTCTATTTACTTGATATATATGTCTTAGAAGCTGTCAAAGAGAACAGCATACAGAGAACGAATGATGTTTAACTTTGTACACACCCATGTTCAATCGCATTCCAAGGGATGTACTAATTCCCTTTAACTGTATTATTGCTCCATAAAGTGAGATTGACACTCTCAATGCATTTGTAAATCAAGCCAATGGCATTAACTGAGCAAACGCATGCCACTCAGATGAGATTTTGTGCTATATTATCTGGGGTTTTCTGTATTGTTGGATTTAGGGATTTATTCTCTCAATCAAAGTCCACAAGCTCATAAAAACAGAGACGGGGAGAGAAAGAACGTTTGGGAGATGTTTAAAAGCACAGACTGACATAGTCATCAAACTTTTCAAACCTTCAGAGCAAAAGGAGTGTCAGTGTAAATATTCCTCTGAATCAAACAAACTTAGATAAGGCATAGCAGAGTAAAAGTCCTTCCCTGTCTTCAGAGCAGTCATTTGAAAGTTGATACATTTGAGTGCCAATGAAAGTGTGTAGAATTGAACTTATGTATGGAAATGTTGTCTCTCTGAGACAAATTCACTCTATAAAAGTGCATGTCAGTGTCATTTGATGCCGTTGATGCTTGTGACCAAATGACATTGACATCAAATCACAACACATCTAATGGTGCCATATCTCATTTAAGAGTGGAAGGGAATGTTATAAGTGAATATATTAATAATAAATGAGATAAGTGATACATTTTGGACTGTTCCTCACACAATTGTATTACTTTCGAGCTGCTTCTCACACAAAACTTAAGATTTGCGATACAATATAATATGTATATTATTATATGGATATAATATCAAAAGTCATATGAACCACTTTTATAATACTTTCTATGATTACCTAGTCAGCACTATATTTTGTGAATATGTGGGTTGCTGTAGTCGTTTCATCACAAAAATGTGGATACAGCAGTATTTACAAATGCATTTAGATTAGAGATTGACCTCTGACCTTCCCTAAATCGACAGACTATGTTAACTTCCAGCACTACAGAAGATAAGGTGGCTGACTGATCAACAGTAGAGAGTGTCTGCAGAAGAAAGCAGATGCTCAGAGCAGGGTTGAACAGATATGAACACAAGTCAGCCATCTCTAAACAAAGAGCAGCTGCGAGTTTTGCACGTCTCTCCATCGGGGTATAAATCAAAACTAACACTGCATGCCAAAACAAACAAAGACTTTAACAATCAGCTGCTCAAAGGTGCGAGACTTTGAATAGATTTTCATGTCAAAGGTACAATTAAATGGTTCATTTTTAATACTGAAAAGGTGTGGCATGCAAACACAGGGCCTTTTAAAGGGGTCATATGATGTTGCTAAAAAGAACATTATTTTGTGTCGCGTCACACACGGCGGGCCGGAGGCCTGAGCGGAGGCCGGCGGCTAGAGTGAGCGAAAAGGTGGGCGAGCGGCAACCACATGTGACGATCCCGGGCTGGACTCCACTTCGTCCACGGTGAAAGCCGATCCGGCGATCCACAGCGCGAAGTTGATGTATTTCCTCAGCGACCAGCACGGATCAGCTCCAGGCATGACGAAGCGGATATCGTCCTCTTTTGGAAGACCAAACAAAGTAGTTTCGCTTTCACAACGAAACACACAGCGTCTTCACGACATGGCGCCAGCGGCAACAACAATACTACAGCGAGAATAAAAGTTACGCCTTCTTTCTTTGCGTGAACATTTGGGCGGCATTATGCAAATCTTCCCACATAGCGACGTAGATATGTGGGGGCGTGTTAGAACGAGCCGTTTTAGGTAGGCGTGGTTGACTCTTAACTTTTATAAAGAATATCTCTTTGGATTTTAGACTTTAGTCTTTGCAACTTTACAGATCTTCTTTATGCACCAAGAGCTTGTAACACTCCAAAGAGAAAGGAAAAACTGAAATCGCATCATATGACTTATGACCTTTAACTACTCACTTGGCTCTTGCACAAGAAAACCCCTTTTAGTTGACGAAACACATCAGCCATGCATGAAGCCCTCACCTCAGCCACCTGGTCACGTTACATTATTATTGACCTTCCCGCAGATAAGCACACAATGAGCCCGGGTGCTTATTTTTATAATGATAAAACATTAACCAATTTACAGCTGCAGCTCTGGCCCTAACACAACTTACATCAGGGATGCTTCTGTCCAGAACTTGGATCAAACTCTCATGCTGGAAATATACACATTAACACAAAAATTATCTCAAATAACTTCCATCCACACAGATGATATCTCTGGTTGGTGGATTCAATAATCTTAACCTTACAGGACATGATTCATGATCATATGAGTCAACAAATTCATGGAGATGTGACATGTGCCAGAGCTCTATATTTACAACACTCAGCATCACAATCATGTAAAAATAAATAAATAAATAAATAATATGCATTTTAGTTGTATATTTATATGTTTATATATATATATATATATATGCTTAAGATATTAGGATATTAAGATATTAGGATATATTAGGATATTTTCTAGCTTAAGATATTAGGGTATAATAGAGAATAATCATTTTATGCTTAAAATAATAAAAAATATTTTTAAGCAGTCTAGCAAAGTGAGGTTTATGCTTAAATCAAGAACAATAACAATACAAATATAAACAATTCAAGACATGTTTTCTGAAAGAAAAAAAAACAGTCTTTCGGAGACTATTTTGCCTCTCAAGAAAACATATCTTGTTTTAAGGATGTTTAGATCTTTGCTGAAACGCAAAACAGAAATGCGGTGCAGAACATCACAGAACAATTTCTTATTTCTTATCAATTTTCATCCAGTGCAACAGGATTACTAAAGTTATATCAATGTAATATCACTAAATATGGCATGCTAAAAGGTCAGAAACTTACCACATATAAATCTCAAAGCTGTTCTCCTACAGCATCAGACTTCTTTAATCCAGGACTGTCTGCATGAGTATGCTACACAGCCAAAACCAAGAAGAGTCTTCACAGTCCTGTCCAATGACCGTTCAGCAGTGTATGCGTTTGCCTCAGTTTGACTCTGTATTACAAGCAGCCGCGTGTTCACTCCCTTTCAGCCGTTCGCTACAAGCAGCAGGAAAAGCTGTCACAGAGTCCTCACACGCAGAAGGGAGAAAGACATGGAAAGAGAGTGAGAGAGGGAGAGGGAGGAAAAGGGGGAAAAGTGGTACAACCTTAAATGGGCAGGGTTTGGGAAAGAAAAAAGGGAGGGAGAAGGGGTCTTTCCCCTGTTGTTAAGAAAACAGCCATGAAAAGCCAACTCCAGACCAATTAACTAAGATTTTCCACACTGAATAAAACATGGCAGAACAGAAGAATGAAAGAGCCTTTGAGAGAATCACTGACTGAACAGGGAGTGTTTGCTTCAGTTTGGGGAAGCTACTTTGAAACTGTAGCTTGCCAAGCTACATGCTAACCATAATTGAAAGCAGTTCACTGTACAGAACTACACTGAATCTACTGCTCTGAAAAAAGTAGTTAGCTAAACTGCAAGCAGCAATCAATAAGTAGACAACTACACTGAAGTAGCCTAACCTAAGATACTTCTAACACACATTGGTGCTAAGCCTGTCACATAACATAACACATAACACAACAAAATCTAAACTTAGTGTTATAATTTGTTTTACTAAATGGCTAGTTTTATGTAGTACACAAAACTAGCCATTCAAGGCGGATAAAAGCCATTAGTGGGTCTAGGAGCAATGACCACATCCCTCAAACTTACAAATGACTACTAAATAAAATAAGAAAATTTCATCAAAGATAGCATATTTATAATATATACGCCATCATTCCAAATTCTGGGGTCAATAGTTTTTTCAGCAAGGAAATGTTAAATTGATCAAATGTGACAGTAAAGACATTTACAATTTACAAATAAATTAAATCCTGAAAGAATCCTGAAAAAAAATATTAGAGTTTCAAAAATCTGCATATTAGAATGATTTCTGAAGGATCATGTGACACTGACTAAATAAATGGCTGCCAAAAATCAGCTTTGCCTTCACAGGAATAAATAAATATTTAGCAAAAATAAAATAAATTTTGCAATATATTAAAGCAGTTATTTTAATTTGTAAAAATATTTCACATTATCTCAGTGTTTGCTGTTTTTGTTCACATGCAGCTTTGGTGACTATAAGAGACATCTTTCAAAAACAAAAACATCAATGACCATATATTCAGGAGTATTTGGACTCGGCCTGGACTCAGACTCAAAAGAACTGGTCATAAAAAAATATGGTCTTGAATTCAGACATGAGACTCATTTACTACAACACTACAACACATCTATAAGCACCACTCCCATTGTCTTCAGAAAACGTATAACTCCAGTTGTTACTGTTATCTGCCAGACACATTTGCATCATATCTGTTAACGTAATAGAGAACATAAATGATGTTTGTCCAATTCAATCACTTTTACTTCTCCCCCCACTTTTAGAGAAGATCCAGTGGTCTTTACCAGAGCTCTCTGTCCTCTATGGCATTCCTGCCTAGATCTCCACACAGCTGGCAGATATACCACCTGTCCCATGGGCTGATTTACACTCCAGTGCAGCGGCTCTTCAAAGCCAGTAGGGAGCACGGGGGAGCAAAATTGGAGACAGACCAGTGGGAGGCAAAGGCTGTCTAGGTTGGACCAGTCCTACATAAAGCCAGTGCTCCCTTTTAACACAAAGGAGTGAATTACAAGAACATCCAAAGCTTAACGAATGAGTGGGGCGATGTGCACTTATCAATGGCATATTTGTCAAAAGCAGACCATTAGGTCTGAAGATGCACAAATGTGCTTATGGGAGAAAGCTGCTATAATGGGTGGTGCAAACAGGAGGATATCACAGGCAAGATCGTGCTTGTCTGCTGAGACCATAACCGAGGTGAAATGAGGTGATAAAGCTCACCAGGTGTGTTAGCTGATGAATGTGCGTGAAAAGAAAGTCGTACTTCAGTTAACCCTGCTTGAGATATGGAATGGAGATCTACACAACTTTTACTTATCTGTCATTTTAGATTCATTTTGTTTGCAAAATGAGATTTTTGATCTATCTATTTATCTACATCTATGTACATCTACTGTATATCATTATGTATAGCATCTATATACACTACCGTTCAAAAGTTTGTGGTCAGAGATTGCGTTTTTGAAAGAAGTTTCTTATGCTCACCAAGGCAGCATTTATTTGATCAAAACTGCAGTAAAAATCAGTACTATTGCTAAAAGTTATTACAATTTAAAATAACTATTTTCTATTTGAATATATTTTAGAATGTATTTCTATGTAATTTATTTCTATGATGGCACAGCAAAATGTTCAGCAGCCATTACTCCAGTCTTCAGTGTCACATGATCCTTCAGAAATCATTCTAATATGCTGATGTCGTGCTCAAAATCATTTCTTATTATTATCAATGTTAAAAACACCTGTGCTGCTTAATAGTTTTGTAGAAAACCTTCTTTTTAGGATTCTTTGATGAATACAAAGTTAAAAAGAACACCATTTATTAGATTTTTTTAAAATAACATTATAAGTTAAATGTTAACATTAAATATTAAATGTGTTTACTGCCATTGATCAATTTAATAATAAATGTATTAGTTTCCTTGAAAAAACACTTATAGACCCCAAACTTTTGAATTGAGGCTTCAAATATATCTGCAACAACTATATGACTTCTATGATGAATAATAAAAAAAAAACTCAAGACAGGCAAATTTAACTAATTTCACCCAATATGATGTATTTTAGGATTCTTTGATGAATACAAAGTTAACACCATTTATTAGATTTTTTTTAAATAACATTATAAGTTAAATGTTAACATTAAATATTAAATGTGTTTACTGCCATTGATCAATTTAATAATAAATGTATTAGTTTCCTTGAAAAAACACTTATAGACCCCAAACTTTTGAATTGAGGCTTCAAATATATCTGCAACAACTATATGACTTCTATGATGAATAATAAAAAAAAAACTCAAGACAGGCAAATTTAACTAATTTCACCCAATATGATGTAATAATATAATATAATACAATATAATATAATATAATATGTGTCCCACTGCCACTATACTGTCTCCTTTTCCAGTAGGTCTTTAATTGAGAGCAGTTTCCTGTAGAGAAGTTACTACTTTTCCAGCCAACCGCTAATCTTATAATTGACTGATATAATTGCAGCTGTGAAGAATAAGTATGCTATTTCAGATGCTGCAACAGGAGCAAGTGTGTATGATAGAAAATTGCCCAATTCTGTTGCATAAAAAATACCATGTGCTGAGATGAATGCCAAGGATTCCTGTAGGGAGTTCAACACGGCTCTGTTGAATCAAGAAAAAATTACTAAATCTACAGACAGAACAGAACAGAAATAAAAATTACTTTAAAATTTTATTTTGCAATAGATTTGCATTGATTAAATTATTAAGATGTGTACAATCATCAAATGTATTCAATGCGTTTAAAAATACTTTTTGCTTGGTGACTGCATCACAACATTTTTGGAGTCACTAAATGTAAAAAAAAAAAATATTTCATTTCTTTCATTTTCTGCTAAACAAAATCATGACTGACTTAGACATCTGACTTAGACAATGTTATCTTGCCACTAAAATCTTTAAAAACAAGAATTGGGATGGAGAAAAAAAAAATGTTTTGATGCACAAATATGTGCCAGAAAATACCAGGAACTTCTTACCTACTAATTAACCTCATTAATGCCTAAGGACTGATGACATTTCCCTGCAGTAAAGCCTCCACCCTCTTCTATAAGGATGAAACAAACAAATACATAATAAGTTTTTCCCACCTCAGCCCCTGTGAGAAACTGCCACACCCTTTCATAAGCAGATGTTGTTTATAGCAAAAGTGATCAAGCTCATTGCCCTCGACAAATAAGAGACGAAAGATTCCATGCTGCTACAGCGAGACTGAAACTATTGAGACTGTTTAACACTCCACGCTGAACATCTCTGTTTTCTGATGTTTTTGATAAGTGCAAAGAGCATAGAGGGTTCTGGCAGACCCACTGGCTCAGTCCTGTCGGGGAACACAAGCAGAATGAGGTCTGTTTGGTATTAGATGGGAGGGTTAAGGCAGGAAATGGCTCGGGGGAGACTGACGTGGTCCCTCCATGGTCGGCACCAGTCCCGGAACCCCAAGCCTGGACCACTAAGGCCTCAGTGTTCTTCCTTGTGCTAAAGAAAGGAGAAAAAGATTGTATGAGGTTTAAAACCAGGGGAAAGGGACTAAAAGGCTGGGAGGGGTGATGGCTGGCTGGATTACATAAACAGTTCAACACCCCAGCAGCCAAGCATCGTTGAGTCCTGAGTGCAGAACATCACAGAACAATTTCTTATTTCTTATCAATTTTCATCCAGTGCAACAGGATTACTAAAGTTATATCAATGTAATATCACTAAATATGGCATGCTAAAAGGTCAGAAACTTACCACATACAGCCCTCCTTCATTTCCTTCCTTTCTGATTGTGGAGATATTATGAAAGTATGGAGGCCTTCAAAATGTATTTATTTTATTTGATACTAGACAATTTGAGTTTAAAAGAAGCATAAAGAGGAGTGCATTATGGGTGTAAATTTTTTTTTTTAAATGTGCTAGAATTATGAAATTGATTTATGAACTTTGTTTTAAAATGCGAGAGGTTCTTTAGTGTGGAAAACTTGCCACCATGATGCCAGGGTGCTGCTATGCAATTACTATGGTAAAGAAAAAAAAAATTAATACTTTTATTTAGCAAGGATGCATTAAATTGATCAAAAGCAACAGAAAAGGCACTTATAATGTTACAAAAAAAATTATATTTCAAGTAAATGCTTTTGAACTTCCTATTTTTCTAAGAATCCTGACCAAAAAAAAAACTATCACAGCCTCCACAAAAATATTAAGCAGCACAAATGTTAAAGTTACGCATTTGTTATTTTTCAAGCTGTTTAACATTTTCAAATGCTGATTGGCAAAGACATAACTGATAAAATAATAAGTAACACAGACTCACAAGCCACAAACCGCATAAAAACAAATAACATAATTTGTAATCTAGATAAGGCAAATGTTCCCTTAAGAGTGCTTAAATGCAAATTAAACTGCCCCAAGATGTTTTT